ATAGATGCCACGAGGCACGCTGGCTAATACGTTATACAAGGAAACGTGTAAAAGATTTAAGAAGTGAGTTTTTGGATTGGAAACTGTATGGAATTTTAAAGTTCATAAAAATGTATTGAGGAAAGTGTTACCAGAATAGACAGTGTTCCAATATTTTGCATGCTTTCAACAACAGTCTTTACTAATGGTGTACGAGAATCAGTATACCTCTTTTAATTTTCTAAACACGTAGTTAAGAAAAAGTAACCTGAATTACATTAACTTTTGTTTTACAAGACTTCCCAGTATCCTTGAAAAAACACAATTTTACAAAAGTGGTTTATGCAAGGAATACCACATAATGTCCATCTTTCAAGCTAAAAGTGCATAATGAAGAATCTAATCGAGAATATTACTACCATCATTACCATTCCAATAAAGGATGAACATGTCACTGGAACCACAAAATAATTATAAGTGCCTATTCAAACAATAATTTCAAAAATTACATCGTCATTTGGTCATCGTCATCTTCTACATATTATAAGTAGAACGGCAAAGTAAGGCTTTCCTACGCCCGTAGAATAATATATGCAAAGGCAACGACGAAGTAAAAAACATTTCCTCCACTCATTAACAAAAGACTAACTAACCGGCTTACAAAAATACACAAAGTTCTGCTCCTGAGGCTTCCGAAGCCGCTGCAACTTGAAAACACCGCCGGTAACGCAGCCCGCATTTCCCATGCAGCTCGGATACCGCCGCAGCAGCACAAAAAACCAGCTCCCCGTTCCCGCACGACAACTTAATACCCGGGCCTGGTCTCGGGTCTCGGCCCCGCCGCCGCCGCCGCCTCGGATTAACATGCAGAGCCCCACACGGCACACGGAGCCGGGCGGAGCGTGTATATGGACACGGGGCAGGGTGTTGCGGTCGGCTCTGGGAGCTACATTGCGTGAACCCAAACTACCGAGCACTTGGGGACAGAGGGAATGAAATAATATACAACGAAATTGGACGAAATAGATCAACCCACGTTGCCAATTTTTGGGATTTCTTTTATTTGCAGGTGTCCTCGTATCGATTGATTGATGTTTCTGGGCATTTCCATTGCTATGGTCATTAGTCCTGTTAGCGTAATGAATGTTTTATCCCGGGAGGTGGCGGTGTTCTTCCTGACTGGAGGGTAAGATCCTTAGCGGACCAACACGTCGGCTTGCAGGCAATGCCCAACAGTAAGAAGCTCTAAGCTCCCGTCTGGTCTTCCGACGTGACTGATAGTGCAGTGCATGTAAATGTAAATGTACGTGTGTGTTTTCGAAGCAGGGCAGAACAAGGAAGGGGAAGGAAAGTTCACGTGCGGCCCGCATCCCATTTATTAGAGTACTACATTCCGGCATTCGCCTGATTTTAATCGAAGAAACCAAGGAAAACTACCGATCAAAGCAGCCGGCCGGTAGAATTCTCCTCCAGACTGCGGTTCAATTTGACCACGAACATCGAGACTCGAATCCTACGACTTTACATTTTTAACCTGTGAAATAAAAAAGTTGTTGTAATCATAATAAGAATAAGTATGTTGTACCAGTCAAGATACAACAGCTCTCGACACAAGTCACCGTCCGAATTAGAGGCAACGTTTGGCACAGATTAATCAGTAGATGTTCATGAGTAGGCAGTTCTAAAAGACGCTGGTCATTAATGTGCCTATATTCAAATTAATTCAAATTAATGCGCCTGCAACGTTTCAAACATTACATTTAATTTATAATGTCTGTCTGCTGTCTCAACCAAATGTGTGATTTCCATTCGCTTTCAAACTTTTAATTCAGCAAATTTCAACATCACAATTCATTCCATACACGCCATCACTTTGATTGGGGGTGAGCGCACCCACGGTTCCCAAAACCTTGCTTCCGAAGAGCCCGCGTGTGGGGCCTAGGGGCCGAGCGACCGCCGCGCCGCTCCCGCGCCAGTGAAAGTGAGCTGGCCCACTTGGCGGCTGGCGGTGGCTGGGCTCCAGGTGGCGGGGCGGGGAGGTGCGGCGCGGCGCGGCACGGGCTATTTTTTGTCGGCCTCGACCGCGGCCTTGACCGCCAGGGGCGCGCGCCCCTGCCCGCCTGCCACGACCCTCCCCCCCCCTCCACCCGTCAGAGATGGTCCAGGTGGGGAGAGCACATTTCACCTATTCGTTAGATTGTTGTACTGCTTCCATTAACGTGTTTTTTCCAAAGATTTTTTACAATGCTTTAAAAGAAATCATTTCAAGCGTTTGTCACTTTGCAGTTTTCTCCGGGATACTGCTCTCACGAACGGATATTAATACTGACTACTCTCCAAACTGTCATTCATACTACTTACTGTATCGATAAATAATACGTATCTCTCCAGAACTGGCCACTGCGCTCAACCATCATCTTTTTCATTATTATTGATCCTTGTTCGACAAAAATTTGTCTTTCACCGGTATGAACAATTACATTAACATCAAATAGAATAAGAAGAGAAACTCGTAAACAAGCTACTAACACCTGAAAGTATATCCGCATATCCCCAAACCCGAAGTATTGTGCAGCTTATCGACATCACATTTGGTACAATGCAGCCCGTTTCCATCGGTCTCCCCAGTCACGACGGGCACATACAATTTTTTTTAAAAAATCTTTAATAATGAGTCATACCTTTCATGCGACGAAGTTTTACAATGACGTTGTGCCGAAGTGCAATCAGATTTCCAATTTTCTTCATGCACTTTATTACTCAATACTTCACGCACTTTATTAATTTTCTAGAAAGAGACTAATCAATAAGAAATTATTGATCGAGAAAAGCTCTTCGCTGTTCAAAATCATAACGACACAATAAATTCCGGCCTGAGTACTTGGGTATCAAGAACGTTTTATTTACTATACGAAAAAATATTATGGCAAATTCAGTTGTTATACACAATCGATGATTATCACATTCTGTCTGTGTATTCCTTTTATCTTAAAAATCGGTAACATTATCCAACCTTAATATATTCTGGGCTTCCTAGAATGAGTCCAAAACGGGCCCTTCAAACACTAGTCAACTCACGCACTTAAACCTAAATGCATCGAAAAATACTCCTAGGAAAATTCAATAGATCGCAGCACAATCACAGGGGAATTTCCTGATAACGTCTGAACATATGGTCCGATTTTCGATCTGTAAACGGCATTTGACGCCTTTTTAAAATAGAA